CAGGGATCTTGCCTCCTATTCTAATCCAGCTTCCTGCAAATCTGCAACTTGAGTGCCTGTCACCCAGCGGGCAGGAGCTTCTGGCTCTGAGTTCACCCTAACACTAGGCTATCTCAGTCATCAGGGGAGTAGATCTGCAAATCACAACTCTGTCTCTCTCGCTACATTTCACATTTAAAAAATTAAAATAAGACAGAATGGAAAAAGATAGAAAACAGCAGTGTGCCCTGTCCATGGTTAAGACCTAGTACTGTTTAGAGGAGCCCTGGCAATGCCTTGGGGGTGCTCAAGTGATTACTATGCATCTCTGCTGGGCTGCTGTATGCAGTGTGCTTATGGCAGGGAGGTACAATCTGACAGTTTGCAAAACATGAATAGAACTTTATATATCTGCATCATCCAGCACTGAATGCAACAACCACAGGTGCCTATTTAAATTTAAATTAGCAAAATGTAAACTTCACTTCCTCAGTCACACCTGTCATGTCAACTGCTCCACAGCCACAAACAGCCAGCACCTAGCACACTGGATAGAGCAAAGAAAAAGAAATTTCCATCAGCGTGGTGGAAATTCTCTCAAAGAGGGCAGTTATAAGACATTTTCTTTCTGAGTCAGTGACCCCTCTAATATCACCAGATAGAATTCCATGTGCAGCTGCAATGAACAGCTAGATGAGTTTTCTGAATACAAGACCCTGAGCTTATGCTCTTTCACAACCAGATGCTATCCAGCAGGCACAAAAACCAAAACAAACTGAAAATCACCTTGACTCCAACTAGCCTCCTCATGGATTAGTATCAACAGGCCCACCTCAATTTCTTTCCCCAAAGCAACTATTAATAAATAACTACACATCGTCTATGTTTTAAAAGTTTACAAAGAAAAAAACTATAAATATGTTGGAATTTCCAAGAAGAGCATCTCATGGATAAGAACAGCTGGCTGTATTAAAAAAAAAAAGGAAAGAAAGAAAGAAAGAAAGAAAGAAAGAAAGAAAGAAAGAAAGAAAGAAAGAAAGAAAGAAAGAAAGAAAGAATCCCTTTCTAGAGGAGGGGGATTCTATCTGGTCATTATAGTTAGGGTTTCTTAGCCCAGTATTTAACTCCGCTTTTGACTTCATTTTTCTGCTAATGTGTATCCTGGGAGGCAGCAGGTAATGGCTCTAGTGCTTTTATCTCTACCACCCACATAAGGAAACCTGGATTGAGTTCCTGGCTCCTGGCTTTGACCTGGCCCAGCCTCAACCATTACAAGCACTGAAGGAGTGAACCAGGGAGTATGAACTCCCTCATTTACTCTCCTTCTCCCTCTTTCATTATCTCTCCCTCACTCTCAAATTAATACTTCTGTTAGGAACTGAAGGTTCATTTTTAACCCTTAGAAAATGCTAGAAGCAAATCCAATGGAAGTAAGAAAACTCCCTCATAAAACTCCAGCAATTTCCCATCAATGTTGTCCTTGGAAGCTCTGCAGCTTGGGAAATCAGCAACACATCACACAGAAAGCTTTCTATGACCCCTGAGGGGCAGTTACCCACCTCAGGATAGACCTGTAGGATCTAGAGCTAGGTAATGCTTGAAAAAGAGTTTAAGACATGATGAATCTTCATTTTGACTCTCTACCATGGTAGTGACACAAAGAAGTCAAGGATATGAGAGTCCCATGTCAGGTTGGGTTTGCTATGCAGTTCAGAAAGACGAAAGTGGCTGAGCCAGCACAAGCAGATGGGACTTCATCTGGTCCACAGGAGCACCCCAAAAAGATCTTGCTTCTTCTGAGTGAGACCCACCAGGAGCAAGACTCAAGTTCATGCTTCTCACTGGAGCAGAACTTTGGTCTCACTCCGCCTGCAGGTCTGGATGGTGCATTTGCCAACTGGGTCTAGCTGGAGGCAGACAAAGAAGGCTTCCCCCAAAGTGTACCACCTAAGCTCAGAACACACACACATTCTGGAAACCAAATTCAGAGCAGGTAGTCTGACATCCCTGAAAACAGAGTGGGCTATTTGGGATTACTTGCAAAAAATCCAGAATGTATAGGCACCATATTCATGCTGACCAGTTGCATAAAGTACAATAGAGTGCCTAAAACAGTGGGCATTCAATAAATATCATTGAATGAAAAAAATGAAAGAATGATAGAACACAATGAACCCTGCCCTGTACAAATGTAATAGGAGTACAACTTCACTTCTCCTTTTGAATTGAAGCTTCAAGAAGCAAGACAAGGTGAATCTTGCCAAATATTTCACCAATCTTATCAATAATGCACAAAAGAAAGAAGCCATAACAAACAAGATTCATTTATCTGGCTACATTAAATATCTAACATATTTTAGAAACATAAAAAATGTATAAGGCAAATGACAAATTACCTTTTCATTGAGAAAAATATCTGCAATATACATCAAAGACAATATAACTCTACAAAAATGTTCTAAAATTAAAAATTAGTATGGTAATAGGAAAATGGGCAAAGGATATGAATTGACCCTCATTCACACATACTGACTTGTACTTCCCTATTAAACAATGATAAAATAAAGCTCAGACTCTCTACTGCTGATCAAAGCAATATATAATAAAACAATATGTGTTCATTTCCAACCATCAAATGGCAAAGGGTTTGTTTTGTTTTACTTTTAATGACAAAAAATGTTCTGTTTGTCTTATTAATGACAACAAGGTGGACAAATGGACTTCCTGCTATTCTATTCATACTTGCATGGATGTGTGCCAAAAATGTTAAAAATGTATATTCTCCTTGATCCAGTTGCTCTGTGGCGCTGTGGCCACAGCCTGCAGAGCCAGCATCCCATTTGAGCTCCAGTTAAAGTCCTGCCTGCTCCACTTCTGATTCAGCTTCCTGCTAATGTGCTTGAGAAAACAGCAGTGCTTCCCACACGGGAGATGAGCAAGCAGCTCTTGGCCCCTGGCTTTTGACTAGCCCAGCACCAGGCTACTGTGCCACATGAGAAGTAAACCAATGGATGGGAGATTTTTCTCTCTAACTCTGCCTTTAAAAGAAACAAATCACTACAAAATAAAAAAATAAAATTTCCTCCACTATAGGCAATTGTCTAAGTTGTCTTATACCTAGGCAAGTGGGACACTGCTGGGGAGAAAAGCAGCTAATAACTAGTGGGCATTTTGGACCTGGTTAATGCCAAATTTGTGTTAACTGTATCAGTGTACCAGCATAGCTGCTTATTCCTTTTTATTATTATTTTCTAAGATACATGGCAAAGGTAGGAGATGCTGTGCTGGGACACACCATCATGTCCCGCAGGCACACTGCACCAATTTACAGTGGGGGATGCTGATTGCCCTGGGTAAGAGGTGTGGGGATATGTTGGAGTGGGGGCTGCTGAGGGAATGCTTGACAGGGAAGGAGTGACTTTTGGGGACTGGGTCACCTCACCCATAAGGTGATGGTGCTGAGATGAGGTGATTTAGAGAGGGGAAACGGCAGGGCATGTCTTGATCAGGCCAGGGCCGAGCTGAGTAGCATCACCTGCTCCCATCTGCACGTGTGAAAGCAAGGAAAGCTGGATCTGGAGTGGGTGAGGTTGGGCTAGGAAGTAGCATCCACCAGTGAAAAGCAGGAAACGGTTCAGGCCAGTGGAGCTAGGCCACAGTACCTGCTGATGAGTGTAGGACTAGAGGCAGGCCATGTCAGGCTGGTCCACAGCACTTGCTGGCACATGCAAGATCCAGGGCTGGGAGAAGGCTTGGTAGGGGAGCTTAGTAAACTCCCTGCTAGGCCACAGCTCCCACTGGTGAGCACAAGAGCCAGGTCTGGAGGCAGGCCAGGCCAGGCAGGGCTACAGCACCCATTTGCAGGACTAGGTTTAAGAATGGTTTGGGTAAGAAACAAGCCTAGGTGCAGGCCAAGCTAAGTTGGAATGTAACACCTGTCAGTTCACATGAGGGCTGGGAGTGGGGGTGGTTCAGGCTGAACCAAGTTGATGCATCCACTGATGAGAGCTGGGACTAAGGGGTGAGCCAGGCTGAGCCAGGCCGTAGGACCTGCTGACAAATGCCAAGACTGGGCAGGCCAAGCCAGACTGGTCCATGGTATCCACCGGCATACACAAGACAATGGGCTGGGAGAAAGCCTTGTAAGGGAGCTTAAGGAAATCCCCTGCTGGGCTGCAGATTCCACTGCTGCACATCAGAGCTGAAACTCAGAGTACCCTGGTCTGAGCAGGGCTGCAGTACCAGACAGCTGGGAGGTGGGCTTTGTCTGGGGGTGGACCAGGCTGGGCTAGGCTGCCACACCAACTAGAGAAGAGAGAATCAGAACAGGTGCAGGCTGCAGCACTGGCTGGAAAGTGCTGGGATTGAGTGTAAGTCATGTGAGGCTGAACTGTACTACTCTGGCAGGCACAAGATCTGTGGCTGGGAACAGGCCTGGTAGAGCATTTCTCTGATGGGCTGTACTTATTCCTGGTGAGCACAAGAGCCAGGGTTGGTGGCAGGTCAGGTTGTACTGGGCAGCAGCATCCACCAGCATATGTGTAGGCTGGGTCTGGGGGGCAGGTTGGGCTGAGCTAAGCCATAAGAGCTGGATGGGATATGGAATGGGGCAGGCTAGGCCACAGTACATTGTAACACATGTAAAAATGGGCTTGTGGTAAGCTAAGCTGAGTTAGGCTGTAGCATCTGTCAGTTCAAGTAAGAGCTGGGACTGGAAGCAGAACTGACCCTGCAGCTGCATTCACCAATTCACTGGTTGGTGTGGCTGATGGACTGAAGCTGATCCTGTACTGGCTGGTGCACACAAGTGTGAAATCAGAAGTCATATCATGTGAAGTCTATTGGGGTATTCCTCAGCTGATTGCTGAACTCAAAACTTGGCCACAGAGGAAATCATAACGTAGGGTTCCACCTAGAGTGCATGTATCAGGATAAGTCTCCATAGTTATTGATGCCTATGCAGTGACAGCCATCTTGTCTATGCTAGCAGACGATGTTGAGTACCTCATCAGAGGATGGAAAGAACAGGCTAGACAACTCTCCTGACCAAGCTTTGCAGCAAGGGTCTGAGTCTGTGGATGTACTAAAGTGGACTTGATCAGCCTTTACACCTTAGAAAGATTTCTTTCTCAACCCTGATGCAATGAAGCCCACAAAATCTGAGAACTATCAAAATCACTTAAATAACACTCTTGGACATTCTTCCCCATATCGAAGTCTATATCATCAATGACTATAATTACCAAATAACTGTCTCACATCCCCAGGTACTGATGCAGCAAAGATAAGCCCCTTCTGTTTCCCCTCTGTGGACACAAAAAAAAATAAAAGCAGAAAGAACTGAAACATTTGTGCCACCCACCTTCCTCCATTCCTTCACCCTCTCAGCCCTAACTGGAGTTGGGTGCGCATAACCTCTCAACTAAGTAAACAATATGTAAATGTTTTAAATAAATAAAATCAAGAACACAAGAACATCACAATTCTTTCTTGAATCACGGTGTATCAATGGTTTATAATAAAGTCATCATCATACCTTCATGGTAGAGACAAAGATAAGTGGTCTACCTGCAAACCCATCTGAATGGGAAGTTAAGTGAACTGTATTACAAGCCTGAGAGAGATAGCATGGCTCATTGTTTCCAAAGTCCTTTTACAAGACTATCTCATCAGCCATGGAATATTCATTTCATAAATTATCACACATATTACAGAATATGCTTCATGGGCCCGGCGCGGTAGAGCAAGTGGTTAAGGTCCTCACCTTGCACACCCCGGATACCACATGGGCGCCGGTTCTATCCCGGCAGCCCCGCTTCCCTTCCAGCTCCCTGCCTGTGGCCTGGGAAAGCAGTCAAGGATGGCCCAAAGCCTTGGGACCCTGCACCCGCGTGGGAGACCTGGAAGAGTCTCCTGGCTTTGGGTTGGCATAGCATCGGCCGTTGTGCTCACTTGGGGAGTGAATCATCGGACAGAAGATCTTCCTCTCTGTCTCTCCTCTCTGTATATCCGCCTTTCCAATAAAAATAATAAAAAATAATAATAAAATAAATCTGTAAAAAAAAAAGAATATGCTTCATGCCAAATCCATGCTGCACAGACATTCACTCTCGTATGATCTGAAAGTACTTGGGGATGCTGAGGCAATATTGATGATGGTTCTCTTTCTAAGTACAAACAATCATTTTAATAGACTTTCAGGTTTCTATGCTAATTGAAAGTGGCAGTTAATAAAAACACTAGGTGGCAGATTCACTGAGTTGGAAAAATGATAATTAAGATATTGGCTACTAGCTATCTCAGAGCATCCCAAGAAATTTAAAATAATCCATTTTTCCAGATAATCCAAAATGTTCCCAAAATAATTCAAACATCCAGATCCTGGAGACTCCAGTTCGCACATGTCCTCACCCACAAATCCTTCATCACACCTCTGTTCTGATTTTCATTCTGCAAATAGGAATACCCTAACTAGAAACTCTAGACACAGTTAGACAGTCTAGGGAAGACAGGAAAAAGTGTCAGGACCTCAACATGGCCAAGAAGCCCATGCCTTCAGCTCAGGCAGACCTCTTGTGATGGTAAGCTTCATTGTAACTGCCACTTTGTTTCTCCAAGGCCTGGCCTGTTAACAATGACAAATAATAACGTGTTCAAAACCTAACTACAGAGGCTGGCACTATGAATAGCAAACTAAGCCTCCACCCGTGGTGCCAGTATCCCATATGGGCATCAATTTGAGTTCTAGTGGCTCTGTTTCCAATGCAGCTCACAGTTAGTGGCCTGAAAAGGCAGTGGAGGTTAGGCAAGACCTTGGGATCCTGTAACCACGTGGGATATGGGAGACCCATAGGAAGCTACTGGCTTCAGGTTGTGACCATTAGAAGAGTAAGCCAAAGATGAAAGATCTTTCTTTCTTTCTCTCTGACACTCTCTTTAACTCTGCCTTTCAAATAAAAATAAAATAAATCTTAAAAAAAAAAAGGAACAAGCTAGGTAGAGATAATTAATGCATTACACAGATTGTATGATAATTAAAATACCAGGGCCCAGTGTGATGACTTAGTGGCTAAAACCTCATCTTGATTGTGCCAGGATCTCTTATGGGTGCCAGTTTGTGTCCCAGCTGCTCCACTTCCTATCCAGCCCCCTGCCTGTGACTGGGAAAAGCATTCAAGGACAGCCCAAAGCCTTGGGACCTGCATCTATGTGGGAAACTCCTGACTTCTGGCTTCAGATCAACTTAGATCTGGCATTGTGGCGACTTAGGGAGTGAACCAATGGACAGAAGATTATTCTCTCTGTGTCTCTCCTTCTCTCTGTAAATCTGCCCTTCTAACAAAAATAAATCAATCCTTAAAAAACAAAATAAAATAATAAAAAATAAAAGACAATAGATACTTCAAGTATTTCCATATTTTGTTATGTAATGGCATAACAAGCCTAGGTTAGGATTATTCAGAAGATGCAATTCTCCTAGAATTAATTACTCTGCAAATCTAACAAAGACCAGGTTCCATTGATCACTTACTCTGGAAAATTCTATTCTTTTTAAAAGATCTTATTTATTTGTATTGGAAAGACAGATTTACAGAGAGAAGGAGAGACAGAGAGAAAGACCCTCCATCCACTGGTTCTCTTCCTAAGTGGCCACAATGGCTAGAACGGAGCCGACCTAAAGGCAGGAGCCAGGAGCCTTTTGTGGGTTTCCCACACTGGTACAGGGCCCAAGGCTTTGGGCCATCTTCCACTGCAATCTCAGTCCATAAGGTGAGAGCTGGATCGGAAATAGAGCAAGCAGGGCACAAACGACACTCCTATGGGAGGCTTGCACTTGTAGGTGAAGGACTAGCCGTTGAGCTATCGTACCTGTCCCAGGAGTTATTCTTGATAAAAGGATTCCATGTTCAAATAAGCTGAGGAAATTCTGGTTACAACAAACGAAGTAAAACTGGTTTCTTTGGTACCAAGCTTATAAAACTTCAGGAAGTGAGGGTGAACCATTCCTCTTCCAGATGGGAGATGTGACACAGCACTTTCCCAAACCACTTGAGAAGGAAATGCCTTCAAATGGGGACTCACGTGGGATTATTGTACCCCAGAGTTGGCCTTGGAAAACCTTATTCATATTCCCTGTCAGGAAGCTTTCAAACATGCCAGGACAATGTATGAGGATACTTCAGAAAGTCTGTGGAAATAGAATTAAAAGACAGGTACAGGAGCAGATGTTTATCCTAATATCAGATTGCAAGTGCTTTAATCCCAGCTCCAGCTCCTGATTCTGGCTTCTGGCTAATGCAGAGCCTGGAAGGTGGCAGTGGTGGCCGAGGGAGTTGGGTCCCTCCCACCCACTTGGAAGACCAGGATTACATTCCTGGCTCCAGGCTTCCACCTGGCTTCTCCCTGGTCATTGTAGGCATTTAGGAAGTTGAGCCAGTGGACGGAAGCTCGCTCTCCTTTGCTTTCTCTCTCCTTCCATCTCTCTCTTTGTTTCTAAAATAACTAAAATTTTTTAAATTTGTAAGGTAACTTTGTGTTGATACAAAAAAAAATATTTGAAATCAGAAAAATGAGCGGGTCTTCAAAATAATCACAGAAAGGTAAATCATAAAAAAATTATGAATGGATTTCAAAAATGTACCTAAGTGAATGTATATTAATCCACTTCAAATGAATGTTTTGAGATCCTTTTGAAGTACTCTGGCAGTGTAGCACATTGGTTGGCACTGCAGCTGGAAACAGGCTTCTGGGTGCAAACCCTGTCACTGCCCCTGACTAGCTCAGGTGAGTTATTTTGCCTCTTGACCTCTATTTCCTTGTTTGTAAACAAGACAGAGTACCTGTACCTATATCCTAGCAGATTTCTATATGACAATGTTTGTACTAAGATTCCATTGACTGGTATATTTCAACAGATGAAGAAATACTATAATAACAAGGTAAACAGAAGTTAAATCATGTAAGGACACACACCCTGATCTCCACCTGAGGTGAAAAGGTGTCATGTACCTGGCCTGGCATGATGCTGCAGTTGCCTAATCTTCCTCTTGCAAGCACTGGCATCCCATATGGGCACTGGTTCATGTCCCACTGCTCCACTTCCCATCCAGCTCCCTGCTTATGTCCTGAGAAAGCAGCAGAAAATGGCCCAAAGCCTTGGGACCCTGCACCCATGTGGGGGACTGGGAAGAGGTTTCAGGCTCCCAGTTTCAGACCAGCCCAGCTCTGATCTTTGCCATCATTTAGGGAATGAACCAGCAGATGGAAGATTGTTCTCTTTGTCTCTCCTTGTTTTCATAAATCTGCCTTTCCACTAAAAATAGAATAAATCTTTAGAAAAAAAAGAAGAAAAAGAAGGTGCCATGTACCTAACCCAGGGTGATCAGCTTGGGTACCTCATGTAGCAAATGGCCGGTATTAATAACCCCAGACAGCAGGTTCACTGGAGGGACATAAATGAATAGATCATCCCAGTGCAGCACAACTCTAACTCTAGAGCTGCGCCCAGACACACCATTTCTTGCCTCTTGGTAGCCCTCAGCACAGACCAACCCACGCAATCTTATTTATAGCAAGTCTCTAAGGACGTTAGCAATTCAGGGAAAGCCTTGATTAGCAAGATGTGCCAGTATACATGGTCTCTGAAACAAGCCTCAAGAACAACATAAGCAATTCTTTTCACAATGTGGATAGATAAAACAGGAGTTATTCATCTAATAACTCAAGAAGGCAAGTTTCCAATAGCCACGAGACATAATGTTGGATAAACACACAAGATTGTTCTTTCTATGTAGTTGATATAAAATATTCATGTAAGGAACAGAACATTAGCCGGCTTCTACGTCACTATTTTTATTGGCTAGCACACAGACTTAGAACACTGTAATGGAAATTAAATGCTTTGCATTTAAGGTGCTCCCTACCCTGACCTTTAGATGTTAGAATATTGAGAAGCAGCACAGAGCAGAAACGAGCGTTGTGCTGGCCGGGAGCTGCATGTCAGACCTACAGCTGTCGGGAAAAGGATGTTTCACCACCAAGGTCAGAGAGTACAGGAAAGCCTGGGAGCCACTAGCAGTAGGTGCCACTGAGCGGCAGGATAAGACCTCTCCCTATAAGGGAAGCAAGAGAACTTTCAACCACCCTCCGCAGTACTGTTCCCTGGGTAGCACAGTGGAGCCTTCCTCAGGCAGACACAACATCCCTTGGAATGCAAACATGGCAAAGAGTTCATCATGGGAAATGGAGCTCCAGTGTAATTTTGTGTTGGTGTAAAATGTTTTAAAATCCATCATATGCATGTTTCAGGAACTTGGCTCTTGACTTTTCTGGCTTCATGCTGGCCCAGCCCTGGCTGTTGTGGTTGCATGCTCCAGTGGATTGAAGATCTCTTCCTCTACCTTTATCTTTCTCTCTTCATCCATAGCTCTGCCTTTCAAATAAATAAATAAATCTTCCAAAATTAATAATAAAAAATTACCTGCACCTGGGTCTCTGCCATTTGAATGTCATAAATGCATAAAACAAGAATTAAACAAAATGAATTACAGAATGAAACAAATAAGGTTAGTCAAGAGCTTCCAACTCTTCATTTTGCAAGTAAGATCATTAAAACATGAGCACAAAACCACAAGCACCTGCTGAAAAACTCAGACCAAGAAAACTAACTGGGGAGCTGTGGACTCGTGCTGGCAGCCAGCTGGCCCCAGGATTTGGACCCAGTTGTCTGGGTTGGGTAAGGGCACAATCATTTCCAAAACCTGCCCCAAGTGGCTCTAATGAACAGCCAGGGTTGACAACCACCACTTTAAAAGCCGTAAGGTAAGAGTATAATCTTAGATTACATGTTTGCCATTAAAAGTAAACAACAGCAGCCTCATAAGAAACACACTATAACAAGATTGTTTTTCTTGTTTCCTGTCTAACAACCGAGAATAAAGAGCTGTGGGGGCAGGCATTTGGCTCAAGGATTATGACATGGCTTGGGACAGTCCCAGCTGCACTTCCATTTCCAGCTTCCTGCCCAAGCACATCTGGGAAGCAGTGCTTGATGACACAAAAATAGGGTTCCTGTCAAGCATGCAGGAGGCTATTTCCTGGCTTCAGCCCCAACTGCTGCAGGCAATTTGGGGAATAAACCTGCAAATGGGAGATCTCTGTGAGTATGTCTGTCTTTTGAATACAAAAATAATCAAATAAGTAAGATGAAATGAAAATTGTTTTTAAATTAATTAAGTAACATACTATTTTTAGAAGAAGCATAGGGACCCAGAGCAATGGTTCAGTGACTAAATCCCCCCTTTGCAAGCACTGGAATCCCATATATGTGCCAGTTTGTGCCTGGTTACCCCACTTTCATCCAGCTCCCTGTCTGTGGCCTGGAAAGCAGTAGAGGATGACCCAAAGTCTTGGGACCCTACAACAGCGTGGGAGACCTGGAGGAAACTCCTGGCTCCTGGCTTCTGATTGGCTCAGCTCTGGCTATTGCAGCCACTTAAAGAGTGAGCCAGTGGATGAAGGATATTTCTCTGTCTCTCCTTCTCTCTATAAGTCTGCTTTTCCAATGAAAATAATTAAATCTTTAAAAAAAAAAAGGAAGAAAGGAAGCAAAGGAGGAAGGAAAGGAAGAAGGAAGGGAGAAGAGAGGGCAAGCATGGGACTAGCATTTGGGAACACATGGCCTACACAAACAAATCATCCTACATCGTTCACAACTTCTGGAACCCCATGTCCAGGCTTGCACACTCTATTCCACCAAAGCAGCCCTTCAAGGCTTGTAAATGAGTCTTGCGCAGTCAAGCCCAGTTACTTCTCGCGTCTCCCCTATCACCTGCAACACATCTGACAGCAAGCTAAGCCCTTGTTCCTTTGGCCTCCTACTAACACAGTTCCCACCAAACAAGTCACTGTGTCCCAGGCACACCTTACAAAACACTTATCTCAGTTCTCTGCTCATTCTGTTCCTCTTCCTAGAACTCCCTTCTGCCTTTTCTGCAGACCCAAATCCTGTCTCTACTTCAAGGTCAGATCTACTCATTGACTGGGCCTGTGTCCCACAGATGTATCCACAGGGAACCTAATAGAACTCTTTTAAATATTTAATTAATTAATTTAAAAGGCAGTGCCTTGGGTTGCAGGGACGAGGGGGAAAACAGAGAAAGAAAGAGACATCTTCCATCCACTGGTCCCCAAATGGCCACAATGGCTAGAGCTGGACCATGACAAAGTCAGGAGCTAGGAGCTTTTATTGGGTGTCCCACTTGGGTGCAGGGGCCCAAGCACTTCAGTCAACTTTTGCTGCTTTCCCAGGTGGATCAGAAGTGGAGCATCGGGATTTGAACTAGAGCCAATATGGATGACGATAATTTAGACGATGGCTATACCTATTATGCCACAGCTCTGCCAGGGCCCCAAACCTGAATGTAAAGATAAGCATACGTACTTTAAAGACTTTGTGGCAAAATAAATAAATAAATTTATCTTTCAATTCCATTTCCAGGAACCTATGGAAGTACCTTCACAAGCCAATCTCAAGGCCAAAAGCCAAAAAGCCTCAAAGCATTGGGAAGCACCAGACGGATGGAGATAAGCTCTGCAGACAACGTGGTTAGCAATGTCCATTACACAAACCTGTTTTCACAATGAATCCCAGAATGACCTCTAACTTCAAGAGCCAAGTTTTTTTGGTTGCTGTTGTTGTTTTTAGGTCCTATTCAGTGGCACTCATTGTCACCACCCCCTGAGGAACACATTACTGCTCCCCCCTCACCTCAGTTACAAATGCAGTATTATCCACAATTCATTTGAGGCAGCTGCTCCAGCTAGCAAGGGTTGAGCCAGGATTTCTGCCCACCCCTTTGGCATTTCCAAGCCCGTGAGAATTCTACAATCCATCTCCACCTTTCACCATAACTTCTCTAACCCATTTAACTTCCTCTCCCAAGAAACTGAGGCAGCCAGTTTTAAGGATTTCCACAGTCCAAATTTAGCTGTGGAAAGGGAGAAGGGAATAAAGACAGAAAGGAGAGTACACAGAGTGGCTCAGAAAATACAGGTGCTCTTTGTGGCCCCCAACTAACCCAGACTCCCTGGGGGGATTTTTGCTGGTTTTTCAGTGGCTTTCCTACTCTGCCAGCAGTGTAAAGTTACTTTAGATTGCATTGAGTTTTTTCTCCAAATCGCCTTTCAAAATGCCCTTGAGGACTTTAGAGAAAAACACCATGGAAATAAGAGTAGGGAGGGAAGAAGGGGAAAAAGAAAAGGTGAGAACACACCAGAAAAAGCAAGCTCTTGGGGTTTCATGTTAAGTGGAGAAAGAGGGACAAATGACACTGATCCCATGAAGCCATTCAAGAAGGATGTTTTTCCAAAGAAAGGGAATGCATGAGTAAGGAGACTGAAAAAGAGAAAAGCCAGCAGAATGACCTTGATCTCCCCACTGATTTTCTTTTGCCTGACTTGCTTCTGGGAAAAGTTACAATGCAAAGTATAATGCTGCTACTTCTCATGGAATTAGGGAATCCGAGACAATATCAGTGGAACACAAACAAGGAAGAAAACCTTTCAGAGGAAATACTTTATCCAGTGGTCACCAGGAAAACAGCAAGAAAATCAGGAGTTCAGGGAGCACTTATAAGATGGTAAACATCATGCTTTTTCCCTCCCTACAACAGGTCCTTCAGAGAGCCATAAATTAAGACCATCTGACGTCTGATGAGAATTCTACAAGCAATACCTTCCAACACTGGGACTCGGAAAGCCCAAGTATCTACACTTTCATAAGGTCAGTGTTGACACAGTGGTGGGGGACACAGTTTCAAGATTCTCTCCAAGGCCCACAGTCTTCCCAAAAAAAAATGGAAATGGAAAAGTTATGATCTTAGTCCCAGCCTCCCAGAGTCATTCATACTTCAGCTTTCAACTTGTGAATGAGTCATTTTTTTTTTTCCTACACAAGTGGTTTGGGGCTCTTTTTGGTGTCCAGGTTACAAGTGGGACACCTAATCTCAAAGATGGTGTCAGGGTGAGGCTGAATACCCTGCTTACACAGACATTGTGCACACAGAACTTTCCTAAAGGCCTGGGAGACTCACAAACCTAAACAAATATAACATGATAGACTCAGAACCCACCAGAAACCAATGAGTCTAATTCTGCTGATGGAGATATCTGGGCAGTCCCAATGTCAAGGTCACACAGCTGCTAAGTGGCAAAGTCCCCTGAACCACACTCTCAGTGTCTCAATCAGTTCTGAATAACTTCTCTCCTGCCTGCATAATGTATTAACTGTTAACTCCAGGTTTTAGAAAAGTTGACAAAGCAAAACACACATTTCAATCTTCCTATTTTACGTGCCATGTTTGTTTCATACTTGCTGTTTTTAATTATTTAAGAGGTAGAGGACAGGGACAGACAGACAGACAGTTCCTGTGCACTCGATGGCTGAAGCTGGGCACACAATCCTGGGATTCCAGGATTTGTATCCAGGGCCAGCATTCACGGGAAGCTGGAATCCGGGGCCAGAGCCAGGACTCCTAACTGGGTATTAATGGCCAGGCCAAATACCAGCCACTATTCATTAGAAGAGCAGAATTCAGTTAGATTTCCCCCTTAGAAAGCTGATAATGAACAGCTGAAATTGCCATTGAGTTCACCACAGTCCTTAAGAAGAGAACGATCTTGTCGAGGGAGACTTTATGGACTTGGAAGGCAAGACCGTGCAGGTCAGAGGAGGTTGACCAAAGCAAGCACCACAGCTCTGAGGGATTCATGAGGCATCTGGGGGGTTAGAGCTGAAAAGACAGAAAACAGAAAGACCAAGACCACAGTAGAACATTGGGGGCTTTGGGAGCTTGCAGTATGTGCGGTGAATTTTTCAGAAGACAGGCACAGTGTGAACTTAATAAAGTCACTGGTTTGGCTGTAGTACAAATCTTCTGGACTCCCCAGTTCTTCTTATAATCTTCAGTGTGCCTGAAAATGCTGAGTTTAGGTGGGTGGTTTGAAGAAACTGAGAAACGACTGAATTCGCCATCTAGCCAGAGATGTATCTGAAAAACAAGGATAGACAGTCCATCACCTAGGCTACTTCAGCGGGAGCAGGAGCTCAAAGGCAGGAACTTGCTGGAATCTTGAGCATCTCCACCAGTGGGCAACAGGGGGCTGAAGCCAATCTCAGTAGACCCTAACAGGGCAAGAAAGCCTCCTCTGATCCTGGGTTAACAAGAGTTACCCCAAGAAATGAAAATCACAGAGAAGCAGCAGCAAAGGAAATGGTGCCTAGCAGGTGTCAGGTCCTTTCCAATTCCATTTATAAAGATTTCTGGAGTGGAGCTAATCCTTGGGCCTCCTTGTGGAGCATAGGTGGGGGCTAAAGAAAGAGGAGTGCAGAGCAGAGAGCAAAAAAAAAAAAAAAAGTCAGACCTTCCCTGAATTTCAGAGGCTGTTCTGAGAGCTCTGCTCTTAGAGGCTTGGGTAGCAGGGGGGTGAATCTGGCCCCCATTTTCCCATTTATATTCACCTGTCTCTAAGAGAGAGCAGGCTGTCAGTACGATGTAGATCAATGATCATCTGCATGTAGAGGCACCAAATGGAAAGCCCAGGGGTCAAGACCTCTGCCCCTCCTCCACACACGCACATCCATTCTGCCATATGGCCTGCACACGTGTGAAGCATACGTTGGAGCCTGCAGGAGACCCGTCCCCTCCCTGCCATCCTGAGAGCCAGTGAAGCAAAGTAGAGTAACTGGGGCTCCTGCCAGAACGGTGAACAACAGGTGTGCTGGGTGGGGGGCTCACAGCTATTCTCCCACTTCTCTGCATGCCAATTTTGGTGAGGAACAAGGTCATTTTGTTCCATCCACAACCATAACAAGGTAGGATAAAATGTTGATTGTGATGCCAACGTGAAAAGGGCAGGCTCAGCCCAGTGACCACTTTTATTCTGCGGCTGTTATAGTAATGAGTTTGTCTTGCTCCAATGGCCAGTATCCTTCAAAAGTGTGACACATGTGGGTGACGATAAAGAATTCTCCTGGGAAAAGCCATGACCTGTAGCAGGCCAAGCTCATAAGCACACTGGCACGGAGCCTGTCTCTTCTATAGAAAACACCAAGTACCGGCTCCTAGGGCATGGCAAGACACCTCTTCTAACACATCTCTTGGCTCTGCAGAAGAGAAACTGAGCTCTATAGGCTGAGGATATGAGTGTGATGCAGGTCTTAGCAGCCAGAGGAAGCCCAATCTCGTGCCACAAACCCAAGGCTGCCAACTGAATAATGTGACAAAAACATCCTGCAAAGAGGAATCTTTGCCTACTTGGAGAGACATGCCCACCTAAAGGGCACAGAGGCCCCTCTGCTCCAGCACACTGTTCCTAGGGCAAGCCCAACAGCTAGGGCCCAGATTTCCAAAAAGTCAGAAACACAGATCCTTATGTGAAATTTTCCAATATTCAATATAGACAGACAAAGCCCAACAAAACTTGCTTTTCAATATGGTGCAGTCAAATACTTTAAATAAATAAAATATATCTGTGAGCTTCACACAGTGCTCAGTTTAAGCTAGAGACAGAGAGAATGATCTGCTTCATGAGTTACAATGTCCCATAAGGGATGCATTGCAGTGAGAGTGAGGTGGAGTGAGGTGGAGACTGGGGACTGGGGAAATAGCTGGAGGTAGGAAAATGATCCAGATGAGCAACCTCAGGAGTCTGAGTAAAAGGTGTGGGATGATGGAGTAAGGATGGTTGGCCGGGGCAGGTGATGAGGGCCAAAGGAGCTGTTATGGATACAGGGCCAATCAGATGTGCAGGGTGAAGAACTGGAGAAGGCTCAGGTCTCCATCCAAGCAGAGGCTCCCTTTGACAAGACAGCAGGAGAACCAGGTCAGAGGAGTTGAGAGGTAGTCAGAATCCATCACCACAGGAGAACAGGGCTGAGGTATGCAGGAGGATACCCTGGAGTTGTATCATTATGAGCCATCTTCTTCTAGACGCTGTTGAAGCTGCAAGACAAAAAGGCTAAGAGAGAGCCCTGGAGACATGCACACAAAAGGTGAATAGAAGAAGGTTCTGCAAAGTCATCTGCTGAGAAAGTAGACATGGTGCTGTCCACGGGCTAGAAGATTGGAGGAGAACCACCTGGAAGAACGGTTTGGGAAGACAGTGAATGGTGCTAATAAGCATGAGTGGATCACAAGTGCCATTTAAGTTGATCCAACAGTGACTTCAAGGATGCTGGAAATGAGAATCCTAACGGGACTGAGCTACCAGGTGCATCTTTATATATGAGGGGACTTTAAAAGTTTGTGGGAAATAGAAGCAAAAGATAAGTTTATTTTGGTGCAAAAATATTTTGAAATCCATGCCACCTAAGGGTTTTGAAAAAGCTCAGGGAAAATGGACATTATGAAAAAAATATGCACAAATTTCTAAAAATCTTACACAAAAATTAATATAAAGTCACAAGTGGAAGGAATAGGAAACCCAGAGAGGACATGAGATAAGTTGAGTGCGCACAGGACATGAGATAAGAGAGCACACACAGGAATGATAACAGGTCATGCACAGAGGGAGTTCTGGAAGTCACGATTTCACAGCAGGCACACACCCCTGAGGGTGGTCCAGAATCTGACCACTGGAGAAGGATGGCTAAACTGAAAATATTATTAAGAAAACATTTGGATGCTATGAAAAGGGATGAAGCATAAAACACAAGAACAATGTTGCTTGGATGAAGAGCAGGACTGAGCAAGGAATGAACAGCCTCACATCCTCAGTGAATGAAACCGAGAGCTTTGAAAAAGCAGAAAGTGACAGCATAAGGAGTAGAGAAGCAAGAACCTTAATGGAAGAAGAGGTTTTGTATGATGGTGAAAGAATGAAGGCAACAGGGAAAACAAAAAAATAATTAACAGCTTCCAACTTACACATTACAGACAGTATCGGCCAAGAAGTAGCCTTATTGTAGAACTCAAAATATCAGTATCAAGTCCAAAAAAACAAGCTGTTTTCTGTCTTCTTCCTCTTCCACTTGTAATCTCTTCCCTCCCTTTTCCTTCTCTGCATATGCCACTGGACCCCAGGGACCCCATGCACCTCTGGGAACACTGCTGTAGCTATGGGTTGGTGAATAGGGAGTGAGGACACATAGGCTCTCATTCTGACTCTCCTACTGGCCTACTCAAGTGACCATCAGCCAGTCACCAACTTCTGAGTGTTGAGAGCTATTCACCTAGAAAACAGGGCTTAGGACATTCATTCGCTCAACTCCAACTAGTTATTTTGAGACATCAAAGAATCAAAGAGGAAATGTTTCATTCTTTGGTTCTCCTGGCAGTGCTTAAAGATTTAAAAATTCTAAAATGAAAATTTCAACATTATCAGTGATTTAATTTGACTCAGTGTTTCTTCCGTGAGCCTTAGGATCTTTCTGGCAAAACAGGAATGCAGAGAATCCGGCACAGTGGCTTAGTAGGCTAATCCTCCACTTGTAGCCTTGGTACCAGTTCATGTCTTGGCTGCTCCACTTCTGATTCAGTTCCCTGCTAGGTTTGGGAAAGCAGCAAAGATGGCTCAAGGCCTTGGGCTCCTGTACCCATGTAGGAGACCCAGAAAAAGCTCCTGTCTTCCAAATTTGGATTGGCCTAGCTCTGGCTGTAATAGCTATTTGGGGAGTGAACCAACAGAAGGAAGATCTCTCTAAGATTTAGCTAAGGTAAGCTAGATCTTAGAGAGATCTTCAACTATCTATCTATATCTATATCTAACTAAGATAGATCTCTCTCTAAGATCTATCTTAGAGAAAGAGATCTTCAACTACCTATCTATAGATAGATATTGATATCTCTTAGAGAGCTCTATATAGATATCATATCTCTATATATAGATTTCTATATACAAATTTCTACATATATATAAAGATCTATATATATGGAGAGAGCGTTACATACCCTCTATCACTCACAATTGAGTGATTTTCAAGTAAAAATAACTGCATCTTTTAAAAAATAAAAGGGCTATGGAATAAACGAGTACTACTTGTCTATACAGTATTTAT